GAATTAAATTTTATTTCAAAAAGCTTTCTTTATCTATCTTTTGATTTTATGATTCTGAGCAGCTTAGTGCTACTTACAAGTTAAACTTGATCTACAAGTTAAACTCTAAACAAAATTGTTCACAGAGACGTTTCGTTTGAACTAGAAGGAACATCGAATTAATTATGAACCAAATAAGAGGCCAAGAAATACCAATAGATGAAGCCTTTCTGCTAAGGCTGAAAGTTTTAAATTGGGAAAATTACTAATGTCAATTTAAGAACAATTTTTGGTAATGGCTTAGAAAATTCATATTTTCTGGGTTCAATATCGGCGTCAAAAGGTTTTTTTGTTCGAGGTATGTCATGTATCAGGTAAAAAGGTTTATTAAGACAAGAAACTGGGGCACTGTGTTTCCTTCATAGAAAAGTAGGTCCGACGGTAAAGTTTCTTTCAAAGTGGCAACTCAGGAACAATTCCCTGACATTTTCTAATTATTTAGAAAATTTCGTATCCATATATTTTGCCGATACATTTGAATTTGTTGTGTTTTGCAAAACAAAGACTCGCAGTTGAAGTTAAATGTTTTGATATGCTTGATTCAACTTGCATTGATCCTTACGAGAAAATGAGAGCCAACAGTTCACACTTAATCAAAGAAATTTGTTTTTATCAGCCTTTCTTAAAGAATAATAACTTCCTCAGATTCTGGAGAGGGAGACTTCATTGTCAATTGTCTCATTAGTTAAGTTTTTGAATTAGTCAAGAAGTCTATTGTTAAAAGATAGTTATGTCACAAATGTTTTCGTCTTCCTTGCCTCAAGGCTCTGCCAAGACTTGTAGGCATTCGTCTTATTCACGTTCTTATTAACATAAATATTTATCTCAGTTCAAAAATAGCATTCAGTCGTAATCGTAACAGTATAAATGTTGTATCGGAGTCACTGTTTGTTCAGTCTTTATTAGTCAAAGCACGAAAAAACAAACAAGCCAGTTAGCCACAATAACTAATTCGAGATGAAAACTCTTCGTGGGTTGAAGTTCTTCGTTCTGATGAGTATTTTAATCGCCCAGTTTTCCTTTTACGGTTGGTTAGCAAGCTTACGCGCACACTTTTTTCCTTTCGCATGTGTGGGTTTAATTTCTTAACATAAAGAATACAAAACCCATAGTCTTTAAAAATGTAAGGTTTCAGAACGAATGAGCCGTAATATATTTTCTTGTTTTCGTGTTTTTTTTTTACAGACGCCAAGGAGAAGCTTCAAATGACGCTTTCCGAGCCCTCTAGCTTTAAACCTCCCAATGCTGCGATATGCTCCATGTTGAAGACACTCGAGAATCTTGGCTATAAAAAAGAAAGAAAATCGGTTAAGAGGCTGGATAAAGGTGGACGGGATGTTGAAGTAAGAATCATGCATGGCTAACTTTATCAAAAATGAAATATCGTTAATCGGAACAAGTCCATAAAGTGTGTTTACCCTTCACGCTTCACAACACGTATCGGGGTACAAGAAAAAAACTGTGCTTAAATTCAGTCTTTCCTTTGCTTCTCCAGAAAGAGGATTTTTATTACAAATTAGTGGATTGCTCTGAGAAAGCCTTGCTTGAAACTGGAAAGGAATTAAACTCGTCTATTCCAGGTATTGATACTGAGTAGATCTGTTTATGTTTGGTGAAAACAATTGCCGTCGAAGTATGGGCGCGTAACAGTTGACGTTATCCAACTGGACACGAGAGATCCCGCCTAAAGGAATTTGGTCATCGCGCAAGCGCATGTAGCAAAAAATCCAGTCAGAAGCTGTGCATTTTCCTTTAAACCAGATCCTTAAAGGAGGCAAAGGCGAAATGGATGTGAGGAGAAGAAATGAAATTTGTGTCCCGCTAAGCTTTTTATACTTTAAGCTTTCGGGAGAAAATTGGCGAGCCGTGTCGTATTTTACAGAAAAAAAGGAAAGAAACCAATGTGGCCGATTTTGTAAAATTTCTTCTCGCATACGAATCTCGGTATTTTTAATTTCTGCCTTCCTTACCATCTCTTAGAAGGAAGGAAGGAGAATTTAAGCCATTTGGTGGCTACTGCGTGCAAATCGAATGTCTCCAGACGTGGTACTGTGCAAAATTAACAAATTAATGAAAAGACAATGCTGACAGAACGGGTGTATTTTAAACCTTCAGGATCGTTTGGGGGCAGTAATTTCTCAAGAAATCATGCGAAAAACGAATTATTCATAACATTATACTTGTATTTGCTCCTCTTCAAGGTTCTTTTGGGAAGGAAATGTCTCGCAAGGTGGCTGAAGAATTCAAAGTATTATTCAGGCATTTCAATGTTGGTAATGGAAGTTGTAAAGTGGGTTTGGTGGTTAATTTTAAGGGAGGCCAGGACTGCGATAATACGGAGCGCAAGAAGATTGATCTTTCCCACCAAAGTATTAAGACGAAAAAGAGCCCTATTCCTCGACTCGAGGCCTCGGAGGCTGAATTAAGCAAAAGAAGATTCCGTTTTCGTCGTTCTCGCCGTTTGCGTCGTTTTCGTCGTCGTTTTCGTCGTTTTCGTCGAAGAATTAGAATCACGGTCCAAGTCTCTGCGACCGGAAAAAAAGACTTCTCGTCGTAAGAGGAATGATTCATGACAGGCGTAGAGACTTGGGTTATAGCTACATCGAAATTCGTCAACCGAAAAATTGCTTTATGCTATTTTTAGAGTGGCCTTTGTAACGACTGTATGGTTTTCTTTTTTTTGTGTGTGTGACTATTTCAGTAGAGCTGAATGATCTTGTAAAACCAAGCTCACGTTGAATGACGGTGTATATGACGTTTTCACTGAAAGAGGATCGCAGATTTTTGTGTATTCATTCATCTATTTCTTATATTCATGTTANCACGTAACTGTTCGCTTTCCTTTCTTTACACAATTTGCTTCAAATGACGCTTTCCGAGCCCTCTAGCTTTAAACCTCCCAATGCTGCGATATGCTCCATGTTGAAGACACTCGAGAATCTTGGCTATAAAAAAGAAAGAAAATCGGTTAAGAGGCTGGATAAAGGTGGACGGGATGTTGAAGTAAGAATCATGCATGGCTAACTTTATCAAAAATGAAATATCGTTAATCGGAACAAGTCCATAAAGTGTGTTTACCCTTCACGCTTCACAACACGTATCGGGGTACAAGAAAAAAACTGTGCTTAAATTCAGTCTTTCCTTTGCTTCTCCAGAAAGAGGATTTTTATTACAAATTAGTGGATTGCTCTGAGAAAGCCTTGCTTGAAACTGGAAAGGAATTAAACTCGTCTATTCCAGGTATTGATACTGAGTAGATCTGTTTATGTTTGGCGAAAATAATTGCCGTCGAAGTATGGGCGCGTAACAGTTGACGTTATCCAAATGGACTCGAGAGATCCCGCCTAAAGGAATTTGGTCATCGCGCAAGCACATGTAGCAAAAAATCCAGTCAGAAGCTGCGCATTTCCCTTTAAACCAGATCCTTAAAGGAGGTAAAGGCGAAATGGATGGGAGGAGAAGAAATGAAATTTATGTCCCGCTAAGCTTTGTATACTTTCAGCTTTCGGGAGAAAATTGGCGAGCCGTGTCGTCTTTTACGGAAGAAAAGGAAAGAAACCAACGTGGCCGATTTTGTAAAATTTCTTCTCGCATACGAATCTCGGTATTTTGAATTTCTGCCTTCCCTATCAACTCTTAGAAGGAAGGAAGGAGAATTTAAGCCATTTGGTGGCTACTGCGTGCAAATCGAATGTCTCCAGACGTGGTACTGTGCAAAATTAACAAATTAATGAAAAGACAATGCTGACAGAACGGGCGTATTCTAAACCTTCAGGATCTTTTGGGGGCAGTAATTTCTCAAGAAATCATGCGAAAAACGAATTATTCATAACATTATACTTGTATTTGCTCCTCTTCAAGGTTCTTTTGGGAAGGAAATGTCTCGCAAGGTGGCTGAAGAATTCAAAGTATTATTCAGGCATTTCAATGTTGGTAATGGAAGTTGTAAAGTGGGTTTGGTGGTTAATTTTAAGGGAGGCCAGGACTGCGATAATACGGAGCGCAAGAAGATTGATCTTTCCCACCAAAGTATTAAGACGAAAAAGAGCCCTATTCCTCGACTCGAGGCCTCGGAGGCTGAATTAAGCAAAAGAAGATTCCGTTTTCGTCGTTCTCGCCGTTTGCGTCGTTTTCGTCGTCGTTTTCGTCGTTTTCGTCGAAGAATTAGAATCACGTTCCAAGTCTCTGCGACCGGAAAAAAAGACTTCTCGTCGTAAGAGGAATGATTCATGACAGGCGTAGAGACTTGGGTTATAGCTACATCGAAATTCGTCAACCTAAAAATTGATTTATGCTATTTTTAGAGTGGCCTTTGTAACGACTGTATAGTTTTCTTTTTTTTTATGTGACTATTTCAGTAGAGCTGAATGATCTTGTAAAACCAAGCTCACGTTGAATGACGGTGTATATGACGGTTTCACTGAAAGAGGATCGCAGATTTTTGTGTATTCATTTATCTGTTTCTTATATTCATGTTATCGGTGATGAAACTGCTTATAACGTCCAAATTATGGATGCAAAATGTGCTGTAGTAAAACAAGGGTTTAAATGGAGCAAAGTCTTCTGGTTTAACTGCAAAGATAAAGTATAAAAATTTTCAGTTCTTAAATAAAGGTTTTAAAGAACCCTTTGAAACTCTTCTGGTTGCTTGGGCAATACTCCCAAAAGTGAATGTTCAATCCCTTTGCGTGACACAGAGCTTAAAAATTTGTCGATCCCATGTCGATAGTAATGAAGTTGATGATAAGCTTTAAACGAAAAAGAACGCAATTCTAATAACTGGAAGGAAGGCGGTGGGCAGTGGGGGAAGGTGGAGGGGGGATGGGGGATAGGGGATGGGAGACCCGAGTAAGTATTTCTTATTTCAACTCGTTGCTTGCGATCAATAAGACAAGAGCGGAAATCGAAAATCAGACCTGAAAAAAATCAGGCCTGTACGGGATTCGAACCACTGACCTCTGCGATACTAGTGCAGCGGTCGGTCCAGAGGTCAGTGTTCAATGCAGAGGTCAGTGGTTCGAATCCCGTACGGGCCTGATTTTTTTTTCAGGTCTGATTTTCGCCATTGCATAAATAGCGCTCTCTACTGCGAGGATCGTGCATCATACGTATCTACAACCGCAGTTCAAAATATATGAACTTCATATATTCATTGTATCTCATATACAGTTAGCTTTTGTGAGAACAATCTCACCAGCTAGTTTGCAGTTGAGTACACATCTAAACTTATTCAGGATAGCCCCTTCAGTGTAGTAAACACTGGTA